CGAGAGTGTTACCTCCCCACCTTCTAAACAGCCCTGGGGCTGGTAATTAAAGAACTGGACATTTAATGCTGAAACCCTAGACAAAAACTCGGGTATTTGCTACACGTCTGTCTGATACCTGTGTGAATGCAGGACTCCTTGATGTCAAGAGCTGCACAATAGCCTCTTCGAGGCAGGGGATTAAGTTCTCAAGCTTCCTGAACTGAAGAGCTTTGATGAATTTCTTCTGTTCTTTTTAGTGTTTAGGATTAGGTGGAAATTAGTCTTTTATTGGGAATCAAGGAGTATTTCTTACAACTCTTCTAGTTCCTAGAAAAGGGCATTAAGTATGCCTCCCTCCTCCAGACATATTTTGCAAAGAAGCCTCATGAAAAGATTTCCAGTGGAAAGGAAAAAGAGGTAAGAGGCTGATCTGATCAGTCTGGAGGAGCCCTGAAGCGCAGGCACAGCTCAGTTATCTGCACAAGGCTGACCTAGGCTGTGGATTAGCCAGCCACCTCCTCCTTCTAATGCTACTGCTGTGGTCCACACGGCATGGCACGGTGTGCTCTTCATACAAGGCTCTGCCATACCCACTGCTGTTCAAAATCACCACAGAAATCTCTACAAATTGTTCAAACATGTATTCAGAGTCTAATTTACGTGTGCCTGGAATTTTCCGATCCTCTTAATCTTCAGTGAGCTGATGTGACGGACGCTAAGCTTTGCTGATCTGCGCAACACGAGTGTTGGAAAAGGCCGGGATCAGCAGGGCACTGGGCTCTAGCTCTTTGGTTTGGTGTCACCCTGAGTCTGCAGGCAGGTGCTCTGGACTCTGGAGCTTGTACAGCTCATCCTGCCCCTTGTTTAGGTGGAGCAGAAGGGTTGCGGGAACCTTCAGGGCACACATGTGGATGTTGAGAAAGCCTGTCCCCAGGGTCAGCTATTCTGAGGGGATTTCCAGCAAGTATTCAGTAGATTGTATGAACTGAGGGAGTTTGAAGAGACTCCAGTAGCTTTTACTGTTTCAGGAATTTCATCAGCATTTTCCTAAGGCAGCATCAAGGGGAATGCTTTCTTATCTGTCCATGCGATCCTGTGGTGAAGGGCAAGCCCAATATTACATAAAAGGAACAGCTCAGTTAACCATAGCATGGTGCAAGAATTTGCCACATCAAATGGCACTTACAGAGCATGATTTCCTATGATCTCTTGCTCTTTGTTTCAAGTTTTTTGAAAAGGAGCCATGGTAGGTGTCACAAGCAAAAAGTCTTCCCTATTTTGTAACCAGCAATATGCCAAATAACACAAGGAATGTCTTTCTGGCAAGTGTGTTTATCCTTGCTCCTTCCCTTTGTACTGGGCCAGACTGTATGATCTTAGCATGTTTTAATTTCCCAGAATTGCAGAAATAAAGAAAAGCTGAACAATATTTGCAAATCTTGTGCTAGGACTAAATACATTTTGTCTCACTCTCATGAAATTAATAAAAAGAAGTGAGACATATTCTTGGATAAAGCCTGCTGTGTGGCTCATGATAACCAGTCCTTTGTTTTTTCCCCGTAGGCTATTAAAAAGAGGAGAGATGATCTAGTTGGTACCACAATGTTAACAGCTTTTCTGCTGAGCAGCTCTGAGAACAGAGTCCCCATCCATAAGTGCTGTCCCTCTGAGCTGTCCCTCTAGCAAACTTCTTTATGGATATGTCCCTGTACTTAAATCTCTATGGACCAACATCCCTGCTATCTGATTATGGCACAAAATCTCAGCTCTTTAGAGGTAAATATTTTTTGAGAGGTGCCAGAAAGAGAGGTTGGAAACAAACAAACCAAAAAACCCCATCTCTGCTGCTGCCATCAGCTCTAAAATCACCATAGTTGCACCACAATAGTGGCTAAGACACCATCAAAATACCTGAGCACTTTGTCCAAGTTGCCAGAAGGATCACAAGAAACTTGTAACACAGATTGGAAGTGTCTTGAACTTGTTCCAGTGATATCACATCTGTGGTTGCACTTAGTCAAGAAGCATCCACAGTTTTCCGTAACAAGACTCATAGCAACTCTGCCCCAGGATGGAGGCTTGATGGACCGGGACTGAGCCAGTCAGCAGAAGGAAAGTGACTGGAAGCAGATACATCTTCTTTTGGGGATGAAGAGGCACTGAAGAGGGTTCCTGTTTACAGCAGCATTAATCAAGCATTAGCACTTTTTGGTTGGTTCCAAAGGACAAAAGTATTTCGGGAATAAACTGTGTGGCGAACAGCTGGCTACAACTGCTGACACTAAGCATGTAGAAGGAACAAAACCCAGTAATGTCTGAAGGCCCCCCCACTACCAAGGAAGACTGTGAAGAGTCTTTACAGCACAAAGCTCAGGAAGCTGTTTATTGGTACCATTCCATCTTTTGTCCCCCCTTTCCTCACCAGACTGAAGGCTCTTTTCCCTTTCTTCTGCTATTGTTAGACTGAACTTTGGCAGAGGAAATACCTGGAATTAGATGTGAGCTCTCAGTGGCTGTGGAGATGTCTTCACTGATGTGGTGCAAGGCCTGACTAGAGGGGACCGAGGACTCTTTGCCAATGAAAGTGATGACAAGAGGGGCTAGTGATGTAAAATGGGCCCAGATGGTGCCAACTGAGTCACAGTTTTTGACTGAGTCACTAATTGGCACAGAAATCTCTCTCGGGACTATGCCGAGGGCAATACCAAAGCCAAACATAGGGTTTGAATCTTCACCCTTTTAGTCAATGAAGGCTTTCCTGCCAAAGCCACTGCCCTAAACCTGTATTTGTTAGCCTAAATACTCAAAGCAGTGTTCAGCCTTACAAACCTCATTGATAAATCCACAGACCTAACTGCTCTATTTTGCCATACTGAGTGTAAACACCCATCCTAGTGGTGGGTATGAGCTCAGCCTAAGCACATCAGTCACCAAACAAAGGTTCCAGAGAGATGGATTATCTTCTACTGCCCTTCCTAGTTTCATTGCCAATGATCAATGCTGCATTACAATGTCTGTGCAAAGACAAATGAAATCTAAATGTTGCAAAAAAATCTTTGGAGGATTTATGGATGTTCTCAGATTCTACACTGTGGAAGAGGACCTTCAGGCCTCCCTCGCTGACTTCAATGTGTCAGTCAAGAGGAGGTGCTTCTCAAGTCAAAATGAACATGTAGAAGACCTGTGAGCTCAATGCCGTAAGATGCCAGTCCTCCAGACAAGTTCAGCAAGGCGGTTGTCTCCAAAAGGAACATACAACTGCGTATGAAAAGCAACCATGCTGTGTTAAGGTAACTTCAGATTTCAAAGTTTCTTGCTTAGGTTAGTGCAAGTACAATCTGTGCAGCAAAAAGACTTCATTTGAAAGAGAAACATCTCTGTACATCAGAATAGCATTAAGGCACAGTCTTAAATCTGTCAACTAAAATTTACAAGGCTTTTCTTGTTTCATTTTGTATGGGTATTATGCTGGTCACAGAACAAGTGATAAAAGGGTACTATCAGATTAAAAATAATGTATTTTTCTAAAAATTGTCATAGCTGTTATAGCTAACACCTCGAGTTCTCAGAGCTACGGTGTTAAAACAATCCAATTTGCATTATGCCTCTGATGGTATTTGTTTAGTTGTATTCCTCTGCAGTTGAACAGTATTAAAAGATTGGTATTTTTCCTTTCAATATTTTCAATCATTAGTATTTCAAGTATTTCCTCATTTGAGCTTTGTTCATGGGTAACTGACTGAAGTCAAGCTGAGGATCTTTGAAAAAGGCGAGGATTTTTTAAAAAACAACCTCATTGGAGTTTAAAAAAAAAACCCCAAATCTGGGAAGGAGGCATTTCTTTGCAGCTTAATTATGCATATTTAAAGCTCCAGTAGAGCTGATAATGTTGTTTAAAAACTTCTCTCTACTAAGGAAGTTACAAATATAGCCTGAATTGCTATAATGGAAGGAACTCCAGAACATCTCACACTTTCCTTCTTAACCTGAAATTCAGTGTTGACAATACAGGATGTTCTGACCACTGAGAGGTTTTCCCCCATGACTCCATGGACTGCCCTAAAGAAACTGTAATGTCAGATACAGACAACAGCATTTCAGCTTTAACCTTCATCTTCTGTGTGTTTATATTTCTAACTCATTCACAGGGAACACTTTTGTACTTCAACATACTAACTCTTATCTGAACATGACCAAAAGCAAGTTGGAGTAATTGTAGGTATGTGGTACTCAACTGATACGAGTTATTCAAGGATGCCCCTCTTCAAACTACAAAACAAGGAAGCCTTTAGCTGAGGATCGCAGGATTTTATAAACTCACATCCACCCACAGAAAGTTGCCATGCCACTTGCAATGAAGTGGCATTACCCTCATTTTCATATATATATAAAAAGGGGCACAGAAGAGTTCAATTACCCACAATGTGTGCAACAACACTGCCAGGAACCTGGTACCCACCTTGCTCCTCATCACCCACAGACTCAGGTGCCCCTCTGCAGCAGTGCTTACAGAAAGCTGTACTCATAGCATTAATATAGCATAACCTACCTACCTACCTTCCTTCAATGAAGTCCTACAGAACTGAAGTCTACCTAAGTATTTATGTTCCGTTCCATGCCTGAGGGGCTTTTCCCTCTCCAAATACATATGAGCTTTCTATGACATCCAACCCCCACTCCTAAAGGTCTGTAGTTAAAATAAACTGTGCAATGCTACAATATACTGCTCATAACCAACAACTAATGGGTCTCCCAAAGTTGGCTGCTTCAGTCTTTAGCACTAACTTTCTTTAGCCTAGATAGAGATTACCAATTCAACGGTAAGACGCTGTTGAGACCATTACTGAGATTACATTTGGATAACTGTAATGTGAGCCAAATACTAAGAAAAAAATAATTACAAACTCTAAAGCCCATAATGGCAACAACACAAGGGTTCAACAGCCAGCAGGCTGATCAACACCTAGGCAGATGTTCATAAATATGATCATAAAAAGCTTGTTTAAGAAATTGCCTACCTGTAAGGAGAATAAGGGTCAAAGCACGTCTTGGTGACTTCTGTTATCTCTGGGTTACAGCATTCCCCACCATCGAAGTTGTATCTCTCGTAATTACAATCCATGTCACACACCCCATTCTGCTTCTTCTTGTTGAAGAGTGTGTGGCGTACGTGTCGGCAGTCTCCGCCATCGTACCCAGTCAAGGTGTGGTTACACTCAGGATCACAGTTCTCGTCCCCAATCTTGCTGATATCACAGTTGGCCAGGATGAGTCGGTGGCGAAGAGAGGAGTTCTTCACCTCCAGCACCTCCAGCTCCCAGGTGATGTTATAGCGGCTGAAAGCCTCATTTAAATGCTGATGCTGGAACTCAATCTGCTGCTGGCTGACAGTGGGGTTCTGGTGCTTGTCATCATAGAGATTTACCACACGGTAGCGAACAATTTTGTTGCGGCGGAAGCTGGGGAGCTTGTTGTAACTGGCAATTACATCCGTGTTATCACAGACTGTCTGTCCGCAGAGAGGAGGGTCTAGGCTGGTATCCAGCAAATAGCCATGATGATAGCTGAACTTGCTCTGAGGACTGCTGCCATCCTTCATGGGAGACCAGGTGTTTTTCACATTCAGTAAACTGTCTTGAAGAACTAGCTGAGGTAGAGGCATGTCTTGTCTGTGAATTGCCTGGCCCATGTCCAACAAGATCTCCTTCTGAGACCGGGCTGTCCTCCAGAGGCTGAAGTGCTCTACATAACCCCGATAGTTCTGGTTCAGGGCATTTCCTCCAACCATGAGCACCTTGCACTTCAAGGTCAGAAGACTGAAGATGCTGCCCACTTGCTCTCCACTTGTGGCCACCTGGGCACCATTCACATAGAGTTTCATCAGGTGCCCATCATACGTGGCAGCCAGATGCACCCACTGGTTGGGGAGGTAGCTGCGATGTGCTGCAATGGTGGTTACTTTGCGAGCACGGTCCGTCTTCAGAGAGAAGAAATAGCGGGGGTCTCTATTCCCCTGGTCGCTGACGGTGTTAATCCCCAGGACCCATCCTCGGTCACGGGACGTGTAAGAACATTTGTCATATAGTCCTATGTGCCCCCAAAACAGAAATATGAATAAATAAGGATGACAGAATAAAGAAATTAGTCTTTAAATTGTATAAATATATCTCTCTCTACGTATATACACACACTCACCTACATATGTTAGAAAGTTAGTGCACAAGAAAGACATTAAATCATCTACTGCATGATTGTGGGAGGTCATGTTTAGACTTGCTATTAAAGGTGAGGATTTGCCAGTGGCATGTACAAATGGGATTCCCCTTTCCCGACCAAAGAGCAAAACTCTTTTGCAAATTCTCGTCAGCAAAATGTTGTAGTGTGCATTTGGTTCTTACCTTCACTCAAGCCATACATCATTGATAGAAAATAAGAACAGTCTTGAGAAGCAATCCTTGGTGATCTCTCTCATACCTTGTACCCCTGAACCCTGTATCTAATAATGTCCAGAGGAGAAATAAGTATAAAATCTAAGTACTGCACAGTTTGAGAAACACTGAGCAGCTGCACTAAATCTGATAGGTTCAAGCACCCAAATCCTACAGAGAGTGAATGGGATGTGTTCAGACTACCTTCAAATTCATACCCAATAAAAACCAGTAAGGAAATGGCATACACTGGTATGCTGGATGTAGTGAACAAGGCTTATACCACACCAGGAAAGAGCAAGAAACATACACGGATGGACACACACATTCAGAGAGGTTCCTGCCACCTCACACGCACACTTACTAACAATTTGGTGAACCGCAGGGAATATACACTAATGACTTCTCTCATAGAGAAAGTGTGGATCCACACCTAAAGCTCTCCCCACCAGTCTTCAGACAGCTCCAAGCGGCTGGAAGAGCCCACTCCTCCTCAGTTTGGGACACGAGGTTTGGCAAGTTAAAGACATACATTTCCGTCTTTCAGTTCTCAAAGGCCAAGGGCTGCAGGGACACCCCTCAACTGAAAAAATAATCGTTAGAGCCTTCAGCACCAAATGGCCTTTCTACTATCAGCACACAGAAAACAATCCTTCCCCCAAGCCTCCACTTCCAAAAGCCTAAACGAAAATCATAAATCTCTGACAGTTCAGTCCTCATGAAAAGACTAAATATCCCCTTACCTCACCCCTGCACCCTAACCCTCCCAGCACTACAACCAAATAACATCTTCTGCTTCTGACTAAGTTGCTCAACAGCCATCTGTTAACAATCACTCATTAACAGTGCGGTCTTGTCTAGTATCAACAGAGCAAAGGTTACAGGAGCATTCACTGTATTTTTCCTCCCCTCTCCCAGCACCCACCTTCCCCCCTTTCCTCACACCCTTCTTCCCCCTCCTCCCCCTGTAAAAAAAAGTCTTCTGATGGGAAAGTTAAAAAAAATTCAACAGGCCTTTTTTTCTGCATGCTGGTATTTTGCTAGGGACTCTGAGCTCCCCCTTTTCCTGTTTCCTTTGGAAGAGAGATCCCAGGGTTCGGAAGGTAATGTGTTTATTCATCTGTAGGGCGCACTCAGTTCAAAACCTTGTCGAGACCAGCTTCTAGTTTATACTGCTACTTCTGATCACAAGAAAGGAGAGGAGGAGAACCAGGGAAGAAAAAAACAAATATGCTAAAAAAAAAAATGACATTTGCTACGATGGATATTTACCTGAGAAATTCGTGATAGGAAAGCCAAAGCTACCAATGACCTTCTGGAGTCTGTTTTTCAAGTGTTTTATTATTTTTCTTCACGGAATAAATACTTTCACAAAGCATTCATTTTCAGATGTATGAGAGCCGTAAATATCTGCATTTTTATGAACCTGAAATGAAGGTATTGTCCAATGACACCGAGTGGATAATACTGCAGTGAATGAGAGGACAGATGGCAAGACAAGTCCCTCTTCCAAATATGCCATAAAAAAAGAAATTATAAAAATCTCAACTTATTGTAATAAGACCATTAGGGCTGGTCAGATATTTTGTAAGAGAGTTTTTGCTTGCCAAGAAATGCCAACATGGTGAGAGCAGAAGAAGTGATGCAGAAACGGGCTAGTCCCAACAAATCTCTCTGAGAAGCTGCTGGTCTTCAACATGGCGAGGGGAACCCCAGGGACTCCCTTGGCTGTTTTGACTGCAAGCGTAGAAGTTCAGCCCGTCCCAGTCACGCTCCCCACCACCTCCTGCCACCCAGCGACCGAATTCTCCAGGCCTGAGGACCTCAGGGCAGCTGCACACACAACGGCTGCTCCACCTGTTCCGTAAGGCATCCAAGATCCCTGCTGCTGGATGGACGGCTGGAAGTCCTGGAACAGGCTTCTGGGGTCTCCAGCTCTGGGGAAGTCCACCACACAGTCTTTAAGGGTCAAGTTTTTTGGCTTTTTGTACTGACCGGGGCTGGAAATATTCCCCCCAAAGAGCTAATAAATTATTGTGGAATGGAAATTCAGTTTCCTAGCCAGCATTAAAGAACATCTTCCTCTCTCTCTGAAATGCTGCATGATGCTAGTGATTGACCTCAGCTGAACAGATGGAGCTGCTGGAGGAATACTACAGAATAGTAGCAATCCTCCCTTGCCTTTGAGCATTTAAACCCTGATGTGATGCAACATGTCTTGAGTTTGGCTCAAACAGCTGCCATCAATTCAAGATTTACAGGGAGCCAAAGGAGGGCAGAAAAAGAAAAAAAGCAGTGACAATAGGGACACCACTGAACATGCCTGTATGAAAGCTGCTGAACTAAAACAGTCTACTATTCCAGTTCCTTACATTTTCTAGTTTAGGGGAAAGGTCATTACTGAATCTGTATGCCACGTACAGTATCCTTTTCTCAAACTTTTACTATTACAGACATCCAACTCTTGATGAAAAGATGGATTGAACAGCAAGACTTGTTTTATTTTTAAGAGAAAGGAGAAAGAGTAAGAAAAGGGCTAAGAAACCCACTTGCAAAGTCGTACCAGTTCTTTGTGACCTTCTTTTGCTTGTATGCTGTACCTACTTTCCCAATCCTTCACTTACTTTTGGCTTTAGACTAAGAATCCTCCGGCTAAGGGAGTGTCACTTTTCTGTTTTGTCACCAGCACAATGAAACTCATTTCAGCTGGGACTTCGGATGTCATAATAAAAGAATTTATTACTTCTTCTATGACAACTAATAAAGGCAAAGCCATTGGAAGAGGGACATGTGAAATAATTGCCAGAACTTCTGAAAACTGAATAATTTGATGTTTTCACAATTTATTTCAATTTAGTAAAAGGTTCCATAGCCATGAGTTATTTTTCAGACATAATTAAGAACATTTTAAACAAGAGGAGGCCTCTTTTACCCCAAACAAGGCTGTTCTTGAGCAAAATCACCCCTTACAATGGTTGACACTCTGAATTTCAAAATGCAGCTGTGACCACAACCAGCATTTACACGGAAAACATACAGAGTTTAGATTCTCATTTGCACTGAGAATTCTTTACAATAATGTGGTAAAGGACATTTTTACCTACTTAATAGCCCTTTGCAAACCAAGAGTGGTGTAAAGAGGCCTCATGGTAAGTAAGACTCTAGCCAATGACTGCAAAACCACAATTTGGCGAATATGCCTGAAGCTTCTGAGCCAAGAAATGGTGTGAAATAAAACTGATGTTTGTTTTCCCCACAGCAATTAGATTAAAAAAATATGTACAAGTTTCATACAGCAGCAAACAGTTTTCCACACTTCTGCTTGCCTTGAGTTGCTAGAAAGGGAAGGAGCTACAGCTGAGAAGAATACTGACAGCCCTTCTAACTCCTTAGTATGAATCATTTTTCTCCCTGTAAAGCTCCTGTTCCTGAAACCCAAGGGATTAAAATGGAATTTTATCTTTTATTAAAAAAAATAAGAGGTGCTAGTTCAACTTTCCAGTAAAAGGCATTGGTAACCTTCCTTCCCCGCAAAGGAGTGAGTCACTTTTCAGACAGCTCCAGAGAAGTGCCTGAACAGAGCAAGATGCCACGTTCCCGTATGCTTGGCCAGAGACAGGCTCTGATGGCCCACGAGGCTCCTTCCAGTCCCATGATGTTTGTCCCTTATAGGAAAAGTAAATTCCTAGGCATCAAAGGAGTGGGCAAAGCTGGAAAATGAAACTCCATAGGCCAAACATGGAAAACCAGAAATATAGTCTCTCTCTTTTTTTAACAAGTGAAATCTCAGTTCTCTGGCTACTGACCCACAACTGCTCCAGTACAGAACTGGGGCCCTAACCAAGGCCAGTGTATGATTTACATCTCAGTTTGTTCTCAGGACTTCGCTGGGGACTTAAATAGAGCCACATCCTCGCTTGGGCCCTGTGTGCCGAACAGGATTTGGCAGCAGGAGCACAGTGTGTAGCATCAGCTGCTGAACTTCTGCAAGAAAAGTCCTGGGTGAGGACACAAGGCATTGCTGTAACCGAGCTCGCGACGCCGAAACTGGAGCAGATGTTTATCAGCAGCAGCCACAGAGAAACGGGAACTCACAGCTCGAGGCTGTGGCTGCTGGAGTCACAAGTAGCACTCTGTGGGCAGAGTTTGAAAGAAGAGAGACCGAAGTATCCCATGCAAGCAGCTGCAATCCACTTTCATATCATCAATAACAGACTCCAGGCTTCCCTCCCTCCCTCACTTCAGTGCTGTTTCTTGCATCTTGTTAACAGCAATCTTCCCGGTAATCAGCCCAGCCATAGAATTACCTAAGTATTTAATTCTTTATGCAGAAAAAGTTTCAAAGTTTCCCCACTTTGCTGAGCAGCGGGGAGCAAAAAAAAAAAAAAAAAAATGTAAAAAAAACACCTTGTTATGCTTTCCTTTCCAGGAGCTGGAAAGGCTGGGGGAAGGGGAAGAAGGAGGTCAGTTTGACTTTGAACACATCAGGTGTGCTGCACAGCCCGTCACAGCCGCGCAAGGCAGAATGGAAAACAGCGCCCTGCACTTCTGAAAGTTGGCCGTGCCTGTTTTGCTGGGAGACTCCAACCAGAGGTGACAGGACTCAGTTATGAAAGGGGAATTTAGGTCAACAATCAAAGCTGCAGTCAGGGGGCCCAA